CTAATTAAAAATAAAGAGAGTCGGGAGAATCGAAAAGAAGTGAAAGGATAAGTGATAATATGGATAAAGATAAAAATATGAGTGATGATAATAATGATGATGGTTGTAAAGATTGCGATAATAATGATAATAATGGTAATAAAAAAGTAATAATGATAGTCATAATAACAACAACAATGATCATGATAATTATTATTATCATAATTATAATCTTACTACTACTACTACCACTATTAATAATAATGATAATACTAATAATAATGATAATAATAATAATGATCACAGTAACAGCAATAACACTAATAAAAGCTGATAATAACTAAACAAACAAACAGATATTTACGCAAACAAAATTAAGTGTTTATGACCCAACAGAAAACGAATACAATTTTAGGGTAAACTAATATAATCAGCATGACAAAAGACGAGCACAGAAAAGAGGTATCAGTTTCGCCATTTCGATGCATATTTCCTCAGCCTGTGCATTGTGGCATGGTTTCCTCTGTGAATTTGTCCGTCAGTATGGAATATATCAACATATTTTAATGTTTGATCTTTATTATTAATATTATTATAGTCGTTGTTGCTGTTTTTCTTCTTCCTATTATTATTATTATTATTAGTAGTAGTAGTAGTAGTAGTAGTAGTAGTAGTGGTAGTCGTCTTAGTAGCAGCAGTAGTAGTATTTTTATTATTATCGATATTATCTTTATTATTACTATTGATGTAATCATATTTATTTTTGTTATTATTATTATCATTATTACTGTTATTATCATTATTATCATCATTATTATTATTATCAAATTATCATTAGTAGTAGTTGTAGTAGTAGTAACAGTAATAGTCAGAGAATCAGTAGTAATAGTCATAGTAACAGCATCATTATTATTACTATTGTTATTATTGATGTTAATAATTTCATTATTGTGATGGTAATGATAATAATAATAATAAAGATAATAAAAAAAAATATATATATAATAATTATGATAATGACAGTAGCAATAAAAATAACGACAATAATATCAACAATAATCATGATGATGATAACGATGATGTAGAAAAGGTATGAATGAGAATGAATATCTATAGAAAAACATGTATTTCATGTATTTCTGACGAAGATGTAATCAAAACCGGTTTGTCAATATAAATACTGTTCAATAATAATAATAATAATAATAATAATAATAATAATAATAACAATAATAATAATAATAATAATAATAATAATAATGATAATGATAATAATAACAACAACAACAACAACAATAATAATAATAATAATAATAATAAAAATAACAACAACAATAACAACAATAATAATGATAATAACAACAATAGTAAAAATCATCATATATATAGTAATAAAAATAAACATTGATCAATAACATTGGCAATATCAAATTAATCAATATACAGATTGATTAATATATAAATAAACAGTTTAAATTCGACCTAACCACTATCGGCGGGGATGACATCTATACGCTATACCCACTATGAGTTAGAATTATTAATTGTATGTACGCATAGCTATCTCCACAACTCACCATAGAGTCGATCACTGGTCCTACCTGTCTCACCTCTGTACCGCTTTCCTTAATCTATGGAGATATTATCCTTTATTTGATGTTGCGACTAGTATTGATAAACACGGTATAATAATCTTAATGTGCGTAACAAGAATAACTACAATGATATGAATAGCATTAGCGGAAAAATAACTAAGCTTTGCAGAAAGAGGGAATCTGGTGGATATGTAGCCTTGTCATTTACTCCTTGGTGACTGAGCACTTGTGGGGTGATCTATATGTAAATAAATTTCATTAAAAACAACAACAATAACAACAACAAAAGACTTGTGAAAACGGCGCATTAAAAGTGGATTAATACACCTAAAAACTAAATCAAAACTATCATTCATTCTCAAGTATTTGCACTTTAGAAATAATTTTTTTAGTGTTTTGTGATCTGACCTGATGAGTCCCACGCAAGGGATACGTTAAAAGCTGGTTCTTGGAAATATAGTACGGGATGACAAAGTTTGTAATGACGGTATTGGATAGCTTCGGCGTGAAATCTGAAGAAGCCAGAGTTTCCAGAGTGATTATACGAAAAAAAATATCTATTCTGATTTTAAGAGGGAGAATCTTGTGTCATTAAAATAATAATACTAATACTAGTTATTATAACGACAACAACAATAATGATGATGATGATGATGATGATGATGATGATAATAATAAACAGGTGTAATCAGTGCCACTCACACTCAAAAAAGAAAAAAATAAGTTTCGGGCCTAAACTTTTCCCCATAAAAGATTTTCTCGAATGCCGTTTCATGGACCAAAGACCTTAACTTTATCTAGTTTGTCTTTTTCTCTGACGAAAGACCCATTTTGAAAGATAATGAAGAGGAACCATCCAATAACACGTCATGATACTCGTGGGTAGACTAGCTTTCGACATTCATGAGTACCGGGGACGTGTCCTCGACGAGGCTGGAAGAGGCGTTTATTACTTTGAAAATCGATCATTGGTTAGCTAGTAAGGAGAGTGGTTGTATGTTTCTTTTTTTTTTTTCATTTTTTTCTTTTTTTTTCTTTGTTAAAAAAAAAAAAAACGTGTTTGGATATCTCTTGGATCGTTTTTTTTTTCTTTTTCTTTTTTTTCTTTGTAAAAAAAAAATAAACGTGTTTTTTTTATCTTTTCTTTTTTGTTTGTTTTGTTTTGTTTTCCTTTTCTTCCTCACCTTTTGTGTGTGAATAGAACGAGTGTTCAGAGTACCTCGCTTTCGTAAAGTTTACCGAATTAGTGTTTACCTGTACTCCACGGAAGCCAGAGTATCCTGCAAATGTTTGTGTTCAACATTTCCTTTCAAATAATATCCGGTCACACGAAAGCAGATAAATGGTATATCATAGATTCTGAGTTACTAACAAAGGAATCATTTGAGAATATAAGCAGAAAAGCAAATATTCATACTTATCACTCGACGATTACACAGCTAATGTGTATATACAAAGTAGCTATTGTTGATTTGATACTACTGCTATATATGTAACAAAGAACATAAATTGCCTTCGTATTGTCGAATTATATATACCTTCATTCTTACCTTCATCCCGGTCCATTAAGTATTCAAGAACACAATTCTTAAAAAAAATAATAATAATAAATAAAAGATGATAATACAGATCAACCAAGAAGAAAACAATAACAAATATTGTATAAGAGACTGTACTTAACCCATTCACCACGGAATTATGTTCTGTCCTCTGTAGTTTTTGATTAATTTTGTTACCTACAGATGGCTCCACACGTACTCAGCCGGCAAGGAGTCTATCAGTAGGCCCTAGTTACCGACCCTGATTTTCCCATTCATTGCATTGGCAGGAAAATGAATACCATTGCTATCAATACTGTTATTATTGTTATTGATGTTATGATTATTAAATTGTCATTAGAATATTTTAGACAATGAAATGATACAAAAAAAACTTTTCCTAAAGTGAAGGAAAAGGGTAAACAGGTGAAATAGGTAGTTCTTGATAACTGGCTGTTTGGTGATTAAGAACTTGTGGAGCCATCTATGTGTAAATACAATAAATAAACGTGTCTCAAAGTGGGTATGGCATCTATTCTTGCCACGTGTGGCGAATGGGTTAAAGAACACAAGTTTCTTTCCGATTTGATTCAATTGTCGTGAGGGCATCGTTATCCATTACAATGAGATACGTCATTTTAACAACATAGTTAAGGTTCACTGTCGTCGATCACCATTTAACACTAGATAATAATAGATATCTTGACCTTTCACTAGCTCCTCAGCTGAAACGGAAATGGCAGTGGTGCTCCTACTTTTTCACAGACAGACTCATACGCACACACACACACATACACACAAAACACACACACACATACACATACACATACACATACACATACATACACACACACACACACATACACACACACACACATACAACACACACACATACAACACACACACATACACACACACACATACGCACACACTCGCAAGTATCTTCATATCAGCAATTGAGAACTAAAACAAATACAATAATCCATATTCGAATTGTATCTCATAGCCCTATACCGCGACCACACCGCATCCTAAGCTCGTATCCCACATACAAAGCACAATAAACACCGACTAAGCATAAATCAAATGAAAGAATTCAGATTCAATTTTTAATTATGATTTCCGTAGTTGCGTGATCGATAAAACCTGCACGCTTCTTTTATCTCACTGCAATAATCGCCTTATGTCATTAGATAATAAATTCTGTATTCAATATTTCTTGATCTTTTGACCTTCACCGAAGCGTCAAATGAAGCCAAGAACACAATACGGTCCTCAGATAGAGAGATAGATCTTCAGATAGACAGCGTAGTCATATTCTATAGATAGCGTGAAACTTTTCCAGCGTAGGAATTTTTATTGTGTGCTTTACTCTCAAGTTCCTGGCTCTGATTAGAGTTGTAAAGTACGTATCGCTTACCTTCACTTCCACGTTAGACTCGCAGTTGATTGAAAGACGTAATGAGATAAGAAGTTATGTGTTGATGAGGTCTGTTTCCAGTTACATTACCAAATCGTACTAACATTCAACTAATATGACGATGCTTTCCAAATTACCTAGAACTCCTCCCTACTCTCTCATTCTATATATGTTATCACGAAGACTATAACCCACACAAACAATGCAAAACACTACAATCTCACACAACCCAGTCCTAGCAACAACATCCACCAACCATACACCATTACACAGTCCCCTTAACCCAATAACTAACCGTAACCTAACCCTTTCTCTTTCCTTTACCGGATGTGCCAATTTCGGAACATACAGGGAAGCAAAGCAACGATGCTCTGCCAGGCGTACCATCGCTATGCCCTCAACTACATCAACGCCCTTAACTACCTAGAAACACTACGACGTCAGCTGGAGTTCTGCGAGTTTGAGAAG